TCATGTTCATTGCATCGATAACACTGTCTAACCATCTTATCCTTTGCTGTCCCCTTCTTCTTTTACCTTCAGTCTTTCCCAGCATCAGGGTCTTCTCCAGTGAGCGCTCCCTTCTCATCTGTTGGCCAAAGAATTTGAGCTTCAGTATCTGGCCTTCCAGGGAGCAGTTAGGGTTGATTTCCTTTGATCTCCTTGCAGTCCAAGGGACTCTCAAGAGTCTTCTCCAGCACCATAATTTGAAAGCATCTATTCTTCAGCACTTGGCCTTCCTTATGGTCCAACTTTTGCAGCCATACATTACTACTGGGAATACCATCACTTTGACGATACCGACTTTTGTTGGCAGGGTGATGTCTCTACTTTTTATTATGCTGTCTAGGTTTGCCATAGCTTTCCTCCCAAGGAGCAGGCATCTTTTAATTTCATGGCTGTAGTTACAGTCTCCAGTGATCTTGGATCCCAGGAATGTGAATTGGTTAGGGTGGTCTTAGTCTATATCTGGGTTTCTTGGTAGTGGACATGCTTCTTTGGAGTGGGCTCACTTGAGAAGGGTGGAAAATATTATTTTTGGGAAGATTTAGATGCAAGGCTGAATCATTTAAAAGGATTTTTAGGTAATGAAGTAATTGAATCCAACATCATTGGAATTTTTAAATGAAATATTAATAGTCTGACATAAAACCTGAAGACAGTTATTTTTAATGATCAGACATTCAGATAAATAGATGAACTCTCCACACAAAGCCTCATGGGAAACTTACTGTGACTCAAAAATTTGTAACTTCTGTATGAGGCTAATGAGGGGGATCTGCATTTGCTAGCTTTTAATTATACCATGTGGACCAAACTGAAACTACCAAACTTTCAAGTCTGTCCCCACCCCCAGCCATGCCACTGGCCAAAAGGGAAGGGCCAGGGCTCAAAAAAACCCTATGAGTTTCCTGGCTCTAGTCAATGCTGGGCACAATTGCCCAGGGTGCTTCTATTTCCACCCCATCTTCTACCCACTGGCACAAATAGCTGCTTCAGGTAATGGCTGAGAGCTAAACTTCTAGTGCAAAGTATGCATAAGGCTATGTTTAAGCACTGAAAATTATGTTCAGTCTTTAATTTGAAAATTGGTACCACTGACTGCTTCATAATAAATGGGTATGTCATGCATTTGCATGCTATTTGAATTATTGATACTAAAAGAAGGGGAGATTTTTAGTTACCTCTAAATGAATGACAGATACCTTGTAAACTAGTGGTTCTCAGCCTTTCATGTCTTACATCCTGATCCTAGCAATCACTCTGTCAAGGAACCTGCCATGACAGGGGGAAAGCCCCCACTTTTCCAGAGAAAGACATTTATATGTTTACAGGCATTCTGTTATTATATTTATCACGCTAACTGTTAAGGGCATAAAAATGGCAGTAGTATTGTTGGCAGTAAATTTTATTGCTTTGGTTTACAAACGCCCAAAAATAATTCCATTAGTAATTGAAAATTGTAACAATATTGTAGGGTATAAATTTTACTGTTACAGTAACTATAAAACAAAAAGGTGATAAATTGTAGTAGCATTACTGCAGGGGACTGGGTTTGTAACCTGTGGCTGCCACAGATGTCATATATAACACAAACTTTAAAATGTAGCTACTTTGTCCTTATCTGGATGGACCAGGCTAGCTTGATGCTGTCAGATCTGAGAAGCTGTGCAGAGTTGGCCCTGGTTAGTACTTGGAAAGGAGACCACCAAGGGAAGTCCAGGGTTGCTTGCTATACAAAGGCAGGGAATGGCAAACCACCTCTGTTCATCTCTTGCCTTGAAAACCTACAGGATTACTATAGGTGGGCTCTGACTTGACAATACTTTCCACCACCTATATTTATCACCTGAAAACAAACACAGTATTTTTCCTCGTGTAACATTGGTGTACCCTGTACCATATTTTACTGTGAATACTTGTAGAGGAATGTAACTATTCTCAGCTGCTTGCCATGTATAAGAGAAATAAGTATATTTATTCAGCTCTGGTTTCAGGCTACGGTGCAGATATTTGCAGCATACCTGACAAATCTGTAACATGGGAATGTTCCTTGAGTCAATGGCTGCTTCTGCTTCTAATGGCTATTGGAACACAAGTTCAAACAGTTTCCACAGGATACAGCATAGAATAAGTGTCGTCCCCCCCCCCTTTTTTTTGACTTGTAGAGGCCTTAATAGACTTTATGCATTGGTGAATAAACACTTGGCAGTATTTGCCTCTTTTGTGGAAAAGGAATTTGTTCTAATGGGCAACAATTCACATGATGCCAAGCCATGTAAATGCCAAGACTTTTTGGCACCGTAACTTGCCGGGCAGAGAACACTTTGTGAATACTGAATTAAAAATGCTTTCCCCTCCCATAGCATCATCTTGTATTAGGAATAATACTTCTGGCCAGTCTGTACATGTTTTTGCATTTGCCCTGAAGTCTTCAGAACACTGTAATCTTGGGCAAGTATGGGACAAACATACAGGGCAGAGAGGCTAAAGTTTTGTCCTGAGATAGTCTTACTGTGTTGTAGGAACTTTTTAACTCTAATGTCCATTGTGCATAATGAGAACATGCTTGTGTGTAGATCTCAAGGCTAAGTGTTGTCTCCTGGAAGCATGGTTTGTATTTTGCAGATTAATCCCCGTTTATAACATTGTTAGTACTTGGTTTCAATGACAGTCACCTGTTGTTGGCTTGAGTGTGATTGAGTGATAGCGAATACTTACCAGGCACAGTGACTTTTTCATATCTATGATTAAAACTGTGTTCTGTAGATCAAGATAGGTAGCCATAGAAAAGAGCAAGAGTCCAGTAGCTCCTTAAAGACTAACAAAATCTGTGGCAGGGTATGAGCTTTCGTGAGTCACTGCTCACTTCTTAAGAAAAGAGTAAGAGTCTAGTAGGGTATAAGCTTTCGTGTGTTCTGTAGTCTGCACTTTCTAATGCTGCACTTATGGGAATGTGGGATTGGTAACCGTTCAATCGTATCAATCCCTGATAAATAAATCCATATAATTTTCTGATGAATGAATCCAACTGTTGTGTGTCCAGAGTTGTCTTTGGAGGAGGAGGAGATTGGATTTATACCCCGCCCTTCACTACCCAAAGGTGTCTCAGAGCGACTTACAAACTCCTTTCCCTTCCCCTCCCCACAACAGACACCTTGTGAGGTAGGTGGGGCTGAGAGAGCTCTGACAGAAATTGCTCTTTTTTCAAGAACAGCCCTTATCAGGACTATGGCTTGCCCAAGGTCATCCAGCCAGGTGCAAGTGGAGGAGTGGGGACTTACAAACTCCTTTCCCTTCCCCTCCCCACAACAGACACCTTGTGAGGTAGGTGGGGCTGAGAGAGCTCTGACAGAAATTGCTCTTTTTTCAAGAACAGCCCTTATCAGGACTATGGCTTGCCCAAGGTCATCCAGCCAGGTGCAAGTGGAGGAGTGGGGAATCAAACCCGGTTCTCCCAGATTAGAGTCTGCGCACTTAACTGATGTAATACAGTCTGCTAAAACAAGACTGCAATATTGGCCAAAAAAAGCCCTTCCCATTTCATGCGAATGTCTAACATGAGTCTCTGGTCAAGTGCCTTTCCAACTTAACATTTTTCTCTTCTTTGTATTTAATTACAAATAATGAGTTTCAAGCCAGTAAGTTTAAAACTTCTGGATGGCAAAGCCTAGAGACAGATGTGGAATTTTTCAAATAAAAGTAAGCTTTGGCTCCGGTCACACAGGCAGGAAACTGCGTGGGGGGGGGCTGTTTGCCCCGGGGAAAACTAATGCGCGGTTAAGCGATCAGACCTCCTGTGGAGGTCCTGTGGAGGTACCGGGGAGGTTCCATGGGTAGGGAGAGGTGCCAATCACAGGACACGCCTACGCGCAACGAAGAAGCGCGCAGTGCGGCAAACTGGGGTTTTTTGGTGTGCACGACAAATGCGCATGCTCCGTTGGGTGCGTGTGCGCATCCACGGAGACTTGGGGGAAAAACACCTTTTTCGCAAGGGGACATGGGCGGGCGCCGGATGCCACCGGAAATGCGATCAGACGCCTGCCCTTGCCCCACGGTTTCCAGAAACTAGTACCTCCGAGGTACTAGTTTTTTGCTGCACGTTTTCGGCGGGAAGCCTCAGTTGTGCCACGGAAGCGCTACGATTCCCAGATGTGCCGGTGAGATCGCACCCGGAAAATACGCCTGTCTTCTGTCTCTCTTGCGTGGCTAATGTTCCGTGTGACCGCAGCCTTTGTTTGGTAATGGAAAGTGCCATCAACTCACAGCTGACCTATGGTGACCCCGTGGGGTTTTCAAGGCAAGAGACATTCAGAGGTGGTCTGCTATTGCCTGTCACCACGTCACAACCCTGGTTATGCTTGGAGGTCTCCCATCCAAATAGTAGCCAGGGCTGACCCCGCTTACCTTTTGAAATCTGAAGAGATTGGGCTAGCCTGGCCTGTCCAGGTCAGGACCAAAAAGAGCTTTGTAGGACTATAGCATATTAATCAAAGTGAAATAACAAATGTGAAGTAAATGTTTCATGAAGCCTACTCTGTGTCTTTGAGTTTGTCTAGTATTCAGTGCTTTGTTGGTTATCCTTTTTTTTTTTAACTCAAAGCCATGCTAGTTCTTGTTCTGTTAGTGCTCCATTAGTATTTGCAAAGCAGGGTTTGCTGAGTGTGAGTGGACTTAATTACCATCTGTGTCCAGTTTACACAGATATTCTTATCGTGTTCTGGTAAAACAGCTCCCAATTACTTTGAAGAATCATACCCAACCATCAGGGTTGACAAGAGGTTAAACATTCTAAATTGGTAGTTACTGCTTTTAAATCCCTTGGCTCTCTAAATCCCATTCAGTTCTTAAATAGGAATCGGAAGCCTTTAACGCTTGAGTTTTAGGACATTGGTCTGTATTTGAAATGTTTTAAAGGAAAGTGGTTTTTGAGATGCAGTACTTTGATCTCTCTCTTTTTTCTGTTTCAGGTCGCATGCCTGGTTGGATTTGATGCATGAAATTTGCATGACTCCTAACGTTCAGTTTCTGGATTTGACAGTGAACAAGCATGGCTCATCCAGTGAATGCTAATGGTGGTTTTACAGGTAACTATTTCTCTCTTGAATAATTTCTATTTTTTTGGTTCAGAATATATTCTTAATGCTGATGTCCTTGCAGTGTTCCTACTTGTTTACTCTCTCCTGATAAGTAATACTAACATAGAATTTGTGTCTGCCATGTTGTGATTTCCATGCTAATTATCTGTCATATGTAAGAACATAAGAACATAAGAGACGCCAATGTTGGATCAGGCCAAAGGCCCATCCAGTCCAACACTCTGTGTCACACAGTGGCCAGAAATACCAGTGCCACCAGGAGGTCCAGCAGTGGGGCCATGACATTAGAAGCCCTCCCACTGTTGACCCCCCCCCCAAGCACCAAGAAGACAGAGCATCACTTGCCCCAGAGCCCCTAGCTATACCTTGTGGCTAATAGCCACTGATGGACCTCTGCTCCATATGCTTATCTAATTCCCTTTTGAAGCCGTCCATGCTTGTAGCACCCACCACTTCCTGTGGCAGTGAATTCCATGTGTTAATCACTCTTTGGGTGAAGAAGTACTTCCTTTTATCCGTTCTAACCCGACCGCTCTGCAGTTTCATGGAGGGCCCACGAGTTCTTGTATTGTGAGAAAGGGAGAAAAGTACCTCTTTCTTTACCTGCTCTTTCCCATGCATAATCTTATAAACCTCGATCATGTCACCCCTCAGTCGTCTTTTCTCCAAGCTAGAGAGCCCTAAGCGCTTTAACCTTTCCTCATAGGGAAAGTGTTCCAACCCTTTTATCATTCGAGTTGCCCTTTTCTGCACTTTTTCCAAAGCTATAATATCCTTTTTAAGGTGTGGTGCCCAGAACTGCACACAGTATTCCAAATGAGGTCTCACCATTGATTTATATAGGGGCATTATTATATTGGCTGATCTGTTTTCCTTCCTAATAATCCCCAGCATAGCATTG